ATATAATGGATAGAGTTGTGGACGTGGTGTCACACAGACTTGGGTTTAAATCCCACCTCAAACAATTTCTAGGGCTGTTGAGACAAGTCCCCTAACCTCCCTGAGTCCCAGAGTCCTCATTTGTGAGCAATAATAGTATCTGCCTCACAGCACTGTTGTGAGGAACAAGTGAAATAATATACATGAAGTGCTTGGAAAATCCAAAGAACTCCAAAAATGTTAGCTCTTATCATGATGCTGTCCTTTGTGGACCATCTGGAACTGTGGTCAGTCAGGTGTTCAACTTTCAGTTGAGAGCAACACACAAGGTTTACTTTCTTTTCTAACTTTCTTTTCTGCCAGAATATACATGGACTTTTACTTTCTTGGGAGAAAAGGTGCCATTTGATTGGCTTTCAATTTATATATTCATGCCAACAACTAAAATGCCTAAAGAACTAAAATGAATTACAACTCAAAAGCTCTGGTCAAAGTTCCAAATTTTAATCAATAAAATTGCTCATCTACTCCCAAATTAATCTTTAGCCAGTGAGGTTACATATTTTCAGGGCTATAAACACACCTGCAGGGTTAAACATTCATTTCACTTGTTCAAGAAATCTTCAAAAGTATATAAACATTTGAGACAGTAGATTGAACATGTTTTGCCCACATATAAATTTCGTTACACAATAAAACACTGACAATTTAGTTTATGTTAATTTGAAAGCTGTGATAATTCACACAAGCTAAATTGAAATCAGATATTTTTTTAATGCTTATTTATTTTTAAGAGTTAGCTGGATTAGTTAATAGTTCAAACAAGATTGCAGAGAGGAAAAGTTTATTTTGTTTAAGAGAACAGATAGCTTTCGTGTACTTTAGAATCACATTTTATTTAACGTCATTATACTGATTCTTAGTGTCTCTACTGGCCATTGCTTTGTTAACCTGGTTAGTATTTGTATACACACTGAAAAATAATATCAAAATTGTTTGTAAAGCCACTTCCATAATTCAGACATGTCTATCTTTAGACAGGACCTCTTGTTTTGTCTGAATTAACAAGGTTTTGCTATGTTTTTATGGTTTCTATTGAATAACCAATTATAATACCAGCTTCTAATTTCAAATTTCTTTTATTCGTATCATCAGGCTGTGAAACTAGGGGACTGCCAACCATAAAGCAAAGAAGTGGGAGATATGTTTAAAATATGAGTCAGTATATTTGGAGATTTTTAAAAAGCGATCAGTTATCATCAGATCAAATCCCTCTCCACTGTCAAGTCCTCCTCTATGCTAAGATCTCCGAGTCGCTAAAACAGGTCTGGGACTGCAGTTATCAAGGCTAAGAGAGGTAGCGCATGAGCAGCAGTAAGACCTCAGTCAGATTTTGCTTTCATTTAAAAGCTACTCATTCTATGATGCCCAATCGAGGACACAGGATGACAACATCTTCAAACATTAGGGCTAGTTCATCACTGAATGACAAAGGATTAAAGTACAATTTGATAACAAGGTGATAACATGTTAGCTGGGTCGCTCAAGAGAAGTGTAATTTTACCCCCATCTGTTTATGCCAGGTCAGCTTACCTGATGAAGCTTACTTAATTAGACAGAATGAGACTGGATAACTGAGAAGTCATTTAGGGAGCCTCTGGACTGGACATAAATTGCCTCATGTAACCAATGCACTCAGCAATTCTTCCAAACCAGTTTAAACTCCCTGCTTGTCAACTACTGAACTCAGGAGGGTGGAAAGCGCCTCAAAACATCTCATTGGTGGAACCAACATTCAAAATTACCTACCTCTGTCCCTACCTTGAATTTTATACAAGTTGTTAAGTTGACTTAGATAGTGCCCTTGCCAAGGAGGAAAAGACAAGGGGAACTCCCTGGATCTTATTTGTGGTGAATATTAGCTAAAAACCTTATAATGGTTGACAGGAAACATTTTATTACATAGCCTTAAGGAATCACTCTCTCTCTCTCTCTTTTTCTCTCTCTCTCTGTCTGTCTCTCTCTCTATGTCTCTGTCTCTCTCTCTCTCTTTCTCTCTCTCTCTCTCACACACACACACACACACAGACACACACACACACAGACACACACACACCATATTTTGGCTCCAAAAAAACTTAGTCTTTAAAAAGTTATCTAGAAATTCCACATACTTGAAAAAAAGGCTTTTAAAGTAAGATTAAGCATTTTTAAAAAAAATCTCCAAATGATCTTCAATATTTAGGGCATTGTGATAAGATAAATTTATGTACGCATATATGTAAGTGTATGTGTATGTGTATATATTTCTTGACCATGTTTTTTTGTGACTTACTGGTTTCCTCCCACCCCCATAATACAATGTCATTTCTCCTGTGCACTTGGGGCCTGCTATATTCAGGAGGACTCAGAGTATTTTTAAGACTGCGAAAGCTCCGGGAGTGAGGAAAAAAGAATGGGCAGTCATTTGAATCAGTGAGTGACAGGCCAGGCTAGCTCTCTGTATACATTAATAAATTAGAATTTTAATTGTGTCTCTGACTGCAGGAGATGCATGAGGACTTCAATATGTACCAACAATTGGCTATGTTATGGAATCTGTGATTCGGCCTTCACTGTTGACCTCTGAAACACAATTCCCAGTCTGACTACGGAAACTGTTCAGTTTGATCCTTTCAACTTATTTGAATCCTGACAAATAGGCTCACAGCTGAAAGGTCAACACAGTCATATTTCATCCTCTGGAGCTATTCTTAAGACATCTGCACAACAAAGCACTTCTCTTAGTACCTGACACTGGCCCTTCCTGGCACAATACCTCATTAAAAATGTCCCCAGTGTTAGAGTACATTAAGAGACATATGGAGCGGCAAGAGTTTACCAAAGAAATGTTTCTGGAAGTGTTAATAAACAATACGTGTTGTGACTTGGTGGTTCCAATAAAATGTCACTGCAACACTGATAAATTCCTGAAAGAGAGTTGCTTCCTCAACTTCAGAAAAAGGAATAAATGTGTCCCTAGGAAGGGCTTTGTGTTCTTTTTTAAGTTCCTGAGAGGATCATTTTGGGACATGGATTTCTCTATTCTGACCAGCCGAAGTCAAATACATGGAGTTATCATAGATTGAGTTCAGAATGGAATCTGACATTCTGAATCCAATTCATTCCATTTATTCTAACCTGTAGGTGCTTTCTCAAATGCTCACTCAGACTAGTCTCAAATTTTAGGATCCTTGAATCACCAATTCAGAGCTGGCAGAGACTTTAGAGGACAACTAGTGAGATCACAGAATCACAGAGAGGAAAAGGAGGTCCAGAGATGTCCAGTGACTTACCCAAAGCTACTAAGGAAAAGAATTAGGATTTGAACACATGTCCTCAGATACTAAGTCTTGCTTTATTTTCAACCCAATGCCTGTACAAAGTAAGCCCTAATCTATCCATCCATCTATCTATCTATCTATCTATCTATCTATCTATCTATCTATCTATCTATCTA